GCCACTGGACATCCACGAATATCGTTTGTTTGTAATTAAACACAAAGCTACATAATGGGCTATCTGTGCCCTGCCCACCACGGGTATCAAAACCCGGATTCTAGCGTTGTAAGTCCGCAATCATACCGCTGTACCACTGGGGAGCCACGAATATCATTTGTTTGTAATTAAGCACAAAGCTACATAATGGGCTATCTGTGCCCTGCCCACCACGGGTATCGAAACGCGGTTTCTAGCGTTGTAAGTCCGCAGACATACCGCCGTGCCGCTGGATTTCATTGTCTAATAACAGACAAACAATTTAGATATAAAATATTAATAAAAGTTGCAGCCGTTGCAATGTTTTTGAAATTACTAACATCAGTGTACTACTGATATGTAGTAAATATGATTTTAGTCTATACTTTTTTTATGTCAATATACGAACTGACTGTAGAGAAAACCAATGTATAAAATGTTTGAATATTGAAAACTTCTTATCCTATGGACACAAAGATTTCAGCAGGAAAGTTTGTATGTGGTAGAAGTATTTCTGGATGTTCAATATGATTTCCGTCATTCCAGAATAACATATAAGACCTTTCCTTAAATGAAACTACTGCAGACGTCATTAGTTACGGACATGGTAGTGACACGCATTTTATTTAAATTATCATCATACACACTGAGACGTATTTTATTTAAATTGTCATCATACACACTGACACGCATTTTATTTAAATTATCATCATACACACTGACACGTATTTCATTTAAATTATCATCATACACACTGACACGTATTTCATTTAAATTATCATCATACACACTGACACGTATTTCATTTAAATTATCATTATACATACTGACACGTATTTTATTTAAATTATCATCATACACACTGACACGTATTTTATTTAAATTATCATCATACACACTGACACGTATTTCATTTAAATTATCATCATACACACTGACACGTATTTCATTTAAATTATCATTATACATACTGACACGTATTTTATTTAAATTATCATCATACATACTGACACGTATTTTATTTAAATTATTATCATACACACTGACACGTATTTTATTTAAATTATCATCATACACACTGAAACGCATTTATTTAAATTATCATCATACACACTGACACGCATTTTATTCAAGTCATCATCCTGCACACTGATACACATTTTATTCAAGTCATCGTCGTGCACACTGACACGCATTTTATTAAAAATCACCATCCTGCACACTGACACGCATTTTACTCAAGTCATCATCCTAAATACTGACACACATTTTATTAAAATCACCATCCCGCACGCTGACACACATTTTATTAAAATCACCATCCGGCACGCTGACACACATTTTATTAAAATCACCATCCCGCACGCTGACACATATTTTATTAAAATCACCATCCGGCACACTGACACACATTTTATTAAAAATCACCATCCTGCACACTGACACGCCGAGAAATAAAAGCGATGCTAGTTTGTGAAATAAAAAGCGATTTAGGTATACAGTATAACAATGTGGTTTCGAAGCGAAGACAGAACTTTTTGGATAAATTTTATGACTCTCTATGGTGAAACTTAGTTTCTCTAGGATGGGTGATGCTTAGGATATAATACTGTTTGATATGGAGTTTTCTTTATAATTATCCTGTCCTTTAAACAAGTGTTTCAATCAAGATCTATTATTTACAATTATACATATATATATATTTATCATAAAAGGTTACTACTCTACAATATACCGTAAAACGTAGATGATGATAAAGCAACTCAATGAGTGTATGTTTGTTGTTAAGCACAGAGCTACACAATGGGCTATCTATGCTGCGCCCATCACAGGTATCGAAACCAAATTTTTGGCACTGTTATGCTACAGACCTGCCGCTGAGCCACTTAGGGGCATTTCTAACAGAAAACAGTTGGTTGTGAAATTTTGCACATAGGTTACTGAAATTCTGAAAGCACAAACATACGTATATATATATATTTGGAACACAGTCTCGAACCATGAAATATTTAACGCTTTTCACTATTTCCTTTTAAAATTTTGCTTGTTATCATTTACTTGCAGAACTGTTATTACCCTGGGGTGTTTTCGCTTCATCGTTACGTTTGAACTTTTATTGCAATTTGAACTATTTACTGTGAGTGCGGTATATTCGAGTGACGTTAGGAATGACAGTTTTCTCAAGGTTATACTTTGTATTTAAAACGGGGTAATTTAGAGATATGAAAACGCATGTAAATTATCTACCTTTTTCCCAACTAGTATAGGGATGGTTCTAGATGTACGGTCAAATGATCGGTGGCTGAAAAGGTATATGACTGTTTTTTCCGGAAAACGAAAAAAAAAAAAAGTCGTTAAGCGAAACTGTTAAATGATTTAGAACCAGCGGACACAACACTCCGAAAGAGAGTATATTTAATAGCATTTATGAAAGCCAAAGAACTCACTCATTGAAGCGCTTAAGAGAGCCAATCAGAACCAACGTCTTCTTCTGCAATGTAAATGCTACGGTTACGAAAGAGAACCTTCCGATCCAAAATCTGAAACATCTCCTGTTACCGTAAAGAAGATAATCAACTGGGATTTAAAGCTGACGATGGCTCAAAAGCCAAACGCTCAGAAACGTCCAGCAAAATCTCGAAATCGGCGAGTGTTTTTATGAAAAAAATTACCAAAGAAACTGGAATCACATCATTAGTCAATCCAGTTCTTCAGTTCACTAGTTTCCAGCAAAATCTAGATTTGGGCAGAAATTAGTGAATATTTTGTTGCTGTGATTCCAGTTTCTTTATTTGCTTTTGTCGTGTAGCGGAGGATCTTTTGTTAAGGATAGTCAGAAAAAGCACCGTATTCAGTACTTGTATATTGAAACACGCCATCTTTACCTCACGGCGTAAAAGGCGGAAATGCTTCATTTTATTTAAACTTAATAGAAGATTGGGTACGAGTTTGTCCTGTATAAGAGCTCTGTATTTCAGAATTAGCTAGCCGAGTTCGAATTCGTGGAAACTCACAAAATATTCCCTATTTACTTTATGCTGTGGATGCATTAATAGAATGTCATCCTCAGCGTGGATAAAATAATATATTCTTCATAAGGTGTAATTAGCTTCTACATCACAGAAAATTATTATTATTTTTTTATAATGGACAGATCCATGGTTTGCGTCTGGTTGCCACAAAATCGCGCCCCACACTTTAGAGCCGTGGATGCGTTGTACGATTCACGCTCCGATACCGCTTTTCGATTAAGGTGGTCCAAGAGTTGGCGGTGGGTGCTGTTGATTAGCTTCCTGTACGCTAATCTATAAGATAAGTATTAGAAACGGCTGTACACAGATACTCATTTGTGTAACTTTGTTCGAATATTCAAAACAAACTGTTCATAATTATATTCTATAAGTAATTTTAAATAGATTCAATGAAACCTGATACTGGATACAAAAACAGTGGACCATACCACGTGATGAAAGTTCTTACTAGACATGAAAAAGCGTATTTAATGATATAAACATGTATTTACGTAACACGTGAAAAGCTTCCATTTTGAGTTTTATGATAATTTTTTTAAGCTCAGAAAACGAAAAGGTAGTTTTTTTTTTTATAATATTTGATTTTTTATTAGGGGAAGATAAATTATTTTTCTTAATTGTATTTGATAAATGCTTCAATATGTGGGATGTGAGAAAGTTGGTTCTCAACCATATTTGATAAAATCTATCATCGGCTAGAAAAAAATAATTCTGGGATATTTTATAAACGATTTTGTTCTTTCTACATGACTTAATTTTTGTTAGTCGCAT